CAATCATAATGGCAACACAGAGTAATTCAATTTCTCCTCCTGGCAGCCGTAGTTTATCACGCTTGCACATTTTTCTTTATGCCTCGGGTCATGCTGGGTAGACACTGTAAGTTATTCTCTTATGATTCCTTATGCGACGGCAAAAATCTCTTTCCCCTTTGCTTGGCAATATCAAATCTGTGGCCAGAGTGGGAGCCGATTCCTTTAGGAGGCCATAGCTCAGTTGTGACAGGATTGATAATGGAGGGAACTGATGGAAGACTGCAGGGAAAATGAGGCTGGCGATAGACGCCGATCATTACTGGAGCAGCAAGCCACAGCCTCTGCGTGAGGAAGGAGAGAGGCTGGCAGATTGTCACCATATTCCCAAGTTTTCACCGCCCGGCTTCTCTCTCCTCCTTCCCTGTTTGCATGACATAAATAAAAAATGCTTAGCTCACGGCGTAAATACACCTTCAGCTGATTGTTCTGTGAAAGAACAGTTGGATGAAACGATTCGGTGATGAGGGGCAGATGTGCAGTGATGTTCCCTGCAGCTCCAGGAATGTGTGAAGGACAATAGATAGACAACGACCACTCTGCGCTCTGAATATTGATGCGCTGCGTATCAGGGAAGTGTGTTTTGTTTTGATAAGAAGACAAATTTAGGCAATGGCAATTTCTGCCAAAGCAGAGAGCCCAATCGTTTCTCCGAGTCAGGCGTGTTTTGTGCCATGAGAGGCATTCGGTTAGCTGTTACTCATGTGTTTGTCATGTGTGGGCTTGTTCAGGCACTACAGTCTTCAACTTGCAGGATGGGATAACCAGTCATGTATGTGTGCTGCATAAGCTATGGGCGGGCCCGGCTGTTTGCACTAGAGTAGCTCAAGTAAAACTTGAGCTCAGTGAAAATGAAGCCAAAGTGGAAGTTTCAATCCTCATATGCCACCATGTTAACATGTCAAACTGTGCAGGAGAAATAAGCATGCTGATTGGGAGGTGGATGCCAGCACAGGCAGCTGTAGCTGATAACTGTTTGCCAATTTTAAACTCCATTAATTTGGGTCAGTGGAACTGAGAAATGTGTATTTGTTGATTGGTTGGCGAGTGTTTGCCGGAATTTGTGAGCAGCCACTGTGAAATTGATCGCTAAAGCCTCAGTCACACAGCCATAGAGACCAGTCACTGATCCCGTGACAGCTACAAATCATCATGGGACCTTCTGCTCAGCCGCTTACAATTTACTTAACAACTTTACGGTCCAGAGATATTTGGATATATATAATAATAATAATAATATGTTTGAACATAAATGTCTCAAAAACTGTTAAAGATAGCATAAACATGAACCAGGACCTGCAACTGAACACTAATGCAAAATGATATTTTTTTAATTAAATTTTATATACAAAAATAAAGAAAATCTTCATTCAGCTTTCATGCTGGATTGAGCAAATATGTCAAGTTGTTCCACAGAAACAGAATATCAGTAGATAGTCTAACCCAAAGAAAAAAGTTTCCAGATAGAACTGTAATTATAATTAAGAAGTAATTGTATTACATAAGTGCATGTTTTTCATTTCCCAGACAATCTTTGTAGGCATGCACAATGTCCTGGAAGAGCTGGAAAACTCAGGTTAAATTAGAATGACACTAACAGGCACTCTGTCCCAGTTACAGCTCTAATCCATTTTCTTTATGGTAAGAAAGGCCATGTGTTATTTCAGGCTTTTGGTTGTAATAGTTTTTGAGATATTCATGTTCAAACACTGCCTATTTCAAGGTGAAAATTGAAAATGCAAATAAAAACATTTGATTTGGGCCTCAGTTTTCAGTTTCAAACCCTACAATCTACTTTGGAGGTCATCTGTCACACTGTAAATGTTGATCGGTTTGCTAGCATTCCCAAATTGTTCTTTAATGTTTTTTTTTCTTTGTAGCTGCCACAGGAAGGTAAGAGACAAACGAAGGTCAGTATTTATCATGCAGTGTGTTAGAGCCTATAATAACAGAGGGCTGAGAGCATGGCTTTGGAAGTGGACTATTATTCATTACACAGCCCTGAAGCTGTATTATCTGCCATGGTAGCCACATTGTGTTGATTTAAAAATGGGATTGGTAACGTGTGTACACAGAATATAAAATGCCTGTAGGCACTCAGCTGTTGAATTGTCTCCGGTCAGTGATCTCTCTCACACACACACACACACACACACACACACACACACACACACACACACACACACACACACACACACCCATTCAGCAAACAGTCTGTCCTCGTCCTTAATGCTTAACTTCAGCTCTGCTGTTTTCACATTAGCAGATCACCGATGCGCAAAGAGTGCAAAAACCTTCGCTGCGCTCACACCGGCCGTTAAACCGCTTCTGGCCTGAACTGTTTGCTAATGCGAGTCTAGTGTTGAATGCATTTTATTTCAAGCACCTATCGTGTGTGTTGGCAGTGAATGCCTGCAACTCTCAGTTTAATGAAGCACAATGACTGTTGGAGCAGAGGTGGCAAGTAAAAGGTTTTCCTAGTCTGTTGTTAAATATGCTGGGAAGGTGTTTGGTGTCAGAGGTTAACTCTGTAGTGACAGAATAACTAGATTATTTCTGGCCACTTTGGATAACGTGGTTATGTTTTCCGGGATTAATGTGACTGGGAGAAAAGTCAAATTTGGCAGCGCCTGAAAACAGCACACAAAGCACTTATCAATATTAAATCTCTCTGGGTGTGTTGGGCCACTTGTTGTCGATCTATTTTCGCTTGTGAGCCCTTAAAACAAAGCTCTGTCCCTCACTGTAGGTTATGGCCTTAATGTGGACATACCCATACAGGCCCAAATGGTTACCTGTGGTTTAATGTGGACTGCCCTACAGCATGCTGTGTGGGTCTACCCGCAGTGTTTTCTGGGCGAGTTGTTAGCAGGGAAGCAAAAGTATGTTTTTAGCCTCTCAAATGTTGTATATTTGAACATTTAAAGGCTAAATAAGTGTGGTATTGTCTGAGGAAAGTCAAGAGTGGCAGAAAGGGTCGTGCGTGACATTTATGAGGACAGTGAGACAGTGCTGAGGTGTGCAGCAGGGGTGGGACTCGTTGTCTGCATTGGTGAAGGACAGGTTTACAGGTAAGGTCAGACAGGAGTCTCTGTGGACTATGATTTTCACAGCCAACATTATGATCTGTAGTGAGAGTAGGGAGCAAGTATACGATGGAGAGAGGAGGAATGAAAGTCAGGTTGTGCAGGGTGGAGACACAGTAAGAGAGGCAAGGATGAGGTGGTTCGGACGTGTGCAGAGGAGGGGTAGTGGATATGTTGTAGATGGTCTCTATAAGGGATGGAGGGGAGGCGCGCTGTAAATGGATATTTAACTTGTTACGGGCAAATTATAGTGAGGGAGTGTCAGGATTTCACGATGTTCCTGTTCATTCTACTAATTCGACGTCTTTTACAGTCCTGATAAGAAAGCTGAGACTTTGACACTACAGCTTATTCAGGTTGCCTTACCCAGTGCACTGCAGCTTTTAGACATTTTTCAGTGTGTGCTATCAGACAGAAGGCACCTTCATATTGGTTTCACCGCAAGTGTGGGCAGCCCTTAATTGCTCTCTATCTCTATCTGGAGCAACTCGAATTTGACTCATGGGACCAATTTGCTTCACTCTTGCTGTCCACATTTTTCTTCATTGTGTGATACATAACCGATACACAAGCCCTTGTATCCTGAGGTTTTAGGTAATTGTCAGTAACTTTTTAAAGCACTTTCACAGTTTGCTTGAACCACTGCGGTACTAAAAGTTTTAGGCTAAGCTTCAGCTTAAAGTGCGTGTTACTTATTGCTCGTTTAAAACGTTTTCCCTCTTAAAGCGCTCACTCCAAAGCTGCGTGAGAAACGGCACATCTGGTCTCTTCGTGTCTATGTTCCTGTGATAGGAGACTTGCCTGCCCCTTCCTCTCATGAAAACGGACAGCTCCCTTGTTCTTCTTTAATGTAATATTGATTGACCAAACTCCCAGCTTGAAGGCCAAGGGATAGGAGAGTGTCTGCAGCATCACTGGGCATTAGTGGGATGAAGATGTATCCAAGCGGGAACCCTTCTGACTTTCTGAGTGTGCAGATTGTGGTCAGATTTAGTGCGCTTTAGTATTTAGTGTGTTAAATTATGCTTGCAACTTAAATACCTGCACTGTGTAGGCATACAAGCATGCATTAAAAAGACGGCAGAAGGACTACGCCCAGTGAATGCCAAGCGTAGGACAAAGAAGTACTCCTGCTGATTAGAATAATGAACTTCTCAGTGGATGTGTTCTCCATACTCAGGAGTCTGGGAGAAACCTGAGGTCTCACTGTGTGACAGTACGTCTCATATTTACAAATGCACTTGTTTTTCATTTAAGCATTTAATACCATTGTCACAAAAAGAATTAAAGTCATGCATCAGTTTGTTCCTTGTGACATAAAAGCATATTAGGAAGCCACGGTGTAATTAAGCACCACTGTGAACTGGCTTGTGGCAGAAGGTTTCCAAGTGCTTCTTTTTGGTTGTTTGGATGCTTCCTTTTAGTATTCCGTGGATCTGTTTACTCTCCAACATCTGCTGACATGACAGTTTGCCAAGGGCGGGGTTTGTGTGTCTGTGTGTGTGTCTGTGTGTACGTGAGAACACAAAGAAAAAAACTGAGTCATTTCTTTCCTTTCATTCATTCTCCCTTCATATCCTTCTTTACAGGTTCAGCACAGAAGGCCTCCACTTGGAAGTTATCCAGCTCTTTTCTACGCTACAAATGCTCCCTCTAGTGGTAATATGATGTTATTACATCCACACAATATTGAACTTTTATGTCACACGTGTGCACCTGGTTTGTGACTTTACTTGTGGGTGGTTAGACTGGCCTTATCTGTGCACATAATTGGAATAATAAATGCAAAGCTTAACACTTAAACTGTCCATACCCCACCCCCACCCCCTTCACTGTGCAGCAGCTGCATCTTTGAAGTACAAACATGGGCGTTTGGTTCTGGAAGTCCCTTGCCATCCAGGAATGAGAAGTGTCTGTTTTTTTTAAGGCCCATGTTGATGAGCGTGGGCGACTTGATCGGCGATCTGCAGAAAGAGGACCCAGGAGCTACCGCCTCAGTTCTCTCTAAAGGTAAGACATGCTCAGTATGCAACAGGTGCAGTCGGTCTGGTTCGCCGGGTTGCGCACAAAAAGGATGAACAATAGCCAGTCAAGCAAGATGCCTCCACAATAATCATTTACTCATTTTCACATTTACACTGAGCAGTTATCAGTTAATCACCTTCCACTGCGAGTAACTGTGGCTGTTTGTAGTACAATAGGTCACGGTTCCCTGCCCTTTAAAACAGGGCGGTGTCTGTTTTATGATCTTGTAGCACAGATCATTGCTTTTAAAAGAAATTCATAAACCGTGCGATTTTGGGGAATACTGCAGTGTATTTTACATGCAGATAGTCTTGCAAACCTCTGTGGCTCCTCAGTGAGCAGGAGGGAGTGGCACAAGGTTACACTGGTCTACACGATCTTCACACACCTGTGTCTCTCACCAAAGTTATGTGTTGCCTTGAGCGTGCCATGTTTTGACACAGTGGAGAAAAATAGGGCAATTTTCTGTAACAGTACTCCACGCTTCCTTTTCAAACTTCTAATCATTTTGTAGCCACTCACATCTGAGTTGGTATGGGAACCAGAGTGGTTAGGAAGGGTATCTGATGCAGTCCTCCTTAAGCTACTTTAAGGGTAACTTGTGAAAAGTGTATTTTTCCATGAAGGAGACAGGTGAGGCAGGTTGTGGCAAGGATTTTTATCACTTTAGAAGACGGGACATGTTAGACCAGAGCAGCAGAGATTAGCAGATGACCTTTTTTCCCACACAGATCTCGTTCCCATACATGACCTGTAGTTATGCAGTGCTGAACTACATTCTTTAAGGTGTAAATTACTGACTTTGTCCATTACCGTGGGGTTTATTTGATAAACTTTTTGTTTCTTTCATGTTCTATTGAATTTGTTTGGTCCCTCTGCCAGCAAACCTTTTTTTTCACGGTATAAAAGATAAAGTTAATTCAGTTCAGCGCTTGCTTTGACAGATGGGGAGCGCATTGCCAACAGCACGCTGATCGATGCCCTGCTGGACAAGGACTTTCAGCTTGTCATCAACAATGCAGTTTATAATATCTGCGCTCCTGAAAGGGGTACATTTATCTCCATTCATAAATTCTCCATTTGGCAGTTTTCCAATTACACTTGATCCTGGTGATAAAATGTGGTTATTATCTTCCATTCTTCTCATATTTCACTTTTACTTTCTCCTCGTTGTCTGCCCTGTTGCGCCTCCGTTGCAGTGTGTGCATCTGCTGAGCACGCTATGGAGCTGGAGGACATGAAACATGTCGTGCACCTGCTGCACACGGCGCTCCACCAGCCCGAACACCAGCTGCTGAAGGAGAGGGAGCTCCTGGAGAAACTGGACAACCTCAAACAGGAGCTTTCTCCTCTGGAGAAGGTACTCGATGTGTTGCAACAACCACTCACCCATGAAATTACTTTATACCTTGTTATACTTGCTTGAAAGCTTCATTTAAAGGTAATGATGACATGTCAGCCTTAAAGACTTGGTAACCCATTTTTCTCTGCATTTTATTGGTGAAAGATGAAGGCAGACCTGTCCGGTAAAGCAGACTTCCAGACATCCAGGGCTCTGTATGTTGGCCTGGCGCTGCTGTCCGTGCAGGGCGGCGCCCTGGCCTGGCTCACCTGGTGGGTCTATTCGTGGGACGTCATGGAGCCCGTCACGTATTTCATCACCTACTCGACCAGCATGGCAGCTTTCGCCTACTATATCCTCACCAAACAGGTAAGACTCAGAGACACCTGACTGACTTCACCGTTTTCCTCTAGGTGTAGATGACAGGTGCTCCTCAGGCCATTTCACAAGTTGTTCCTTCAGACTTGGGCGTGCGATTTATTGTGGACTGTGAAAACAACATGGAAGCTACAATAAAGATGTCCTGTATTGCTCTGAAGGGGTGAAGGCTGTTTGTAGTGTAAATAAATATGGCTCAACTTGACTTCTTATCAGGGTAACTGACAACTAGCAGTTAGAACCTATTACTCAGCAAGTCACGTACCAGAACTTTCACTGACTTTCAAAATGCTTTTCCTTTTAAATATTCTGATCATTTCAAGATCACATTTTGGGAAATACATCAATTTTCTCTGCCCAGCTAATAGTCTGGAAAAAACCATAAAATCTAGCCTAACTCTCTAGACCCAAGAAATGATAATAACCTCCTTTAGAAGGCTGATCTTACACTTTAGATGTTAAAAAAAATAACTAAAGTGTTACAACAAAACAAATTTTAGTTACACCTAATGCTCATTTGTGTAAAATAGTCATGTGTGCAGATATATTTTTAAATAATTAACCTACTTTGTTCTCTCCTACAGGATTATGTATACCCAGACGCCCAGGACAGGCAGTTCCTGCGTTATTTTTATAAGGGGGCCAGGAAAAAGAGATTCAACGTGGAAAAATACAATGAACTCAAAGACAAGCTGGCCCAGGTTGGCTGACTGTTTTGTTTTACAATAAATGACTAAATAGTCAGAATCTTTGTTACTGAATGTGTTTTTTTTTCTTAAACAAATCTACAAGGAACTGTTTTGTTTTTTTTTATTATTAAAGGAAATATCAGCCAAAAATAAAAGCTCTTATAAATTGTTTTCAGAAACCTGCAAAAGGTATGAACAACTGCTTTTACAGTCTTTGATTTTCTGTTTTCTGCGTTTCAGGTGGAGGAAGACCTGAGGCGTCTGAGATATCCAACCCAACTCCAGCTACCAATTGAACAAATCCAGCCAAAGCCATAAATGAAGCCAAGCCATGAATGATGGTCCCTCAAACTTTAACAGAGGAAAAACAAAACTAATTTTCCTGCTTTATTTTGATAATAGCATCTTTTTATCTCAAATCCATGAAATTGTTTTCTTTAAGTATTAATAATGATGCCAATTATATATCAAAAGAAAAAAAAATAGAACAAAAATTGACTGCTAATGAAATGAAATGTTTCCCAAACCTCATTTGAATCTGGTGTCTTTCTGGTCTGATTGTGTGATTGTGAAGCGCTTTGATTAAATCTGCATCGTGGCCGTTACAGGATTATTAAATAAAGAATGCAAACGCACTTTCTAACACAAATGCAATGAAGATTTTTATAAAACACCTTTTTATTGAGGGCAAGTAAAGTAACTAAAGTATGACCACAAACATACAGCATTGTTGTTTATTCTGGCGTATTCACCCACCCACGCCACACACACCCACGCCACACACAGTTTTAGGTCCAAAGTACAACTTTAAAGAACACACCCTCCTCCCTGAGGTACTTTTCACACTGGTATTGTCGTCTAGGTGCAAATATGCAGGAGTAAATGTACTATAAATTACTGACACATAAAGAACATGAAATCCCTTTGTAAAGCAGTAAGGCTTAAGGAAACACACTGTTTATGTAGTGCTTGGACAGTTTGTTAAAGTGTTGGCTACTTGAGGCTTATAGTGAGATAATGAAACTGATGAGTAGGAGCATTCCACCGGAAAATTCCAGCTAAGAACTAAGAAATTCCAGTTTTAAGTGGAATGCACTGCATGTCGCCTATTTCTGAAGATGAACTGGAAAATATTTGTCTTGCTGGAAAAAAAAAATCCTCAAAAACCTGTGAAACAGACTCCCTGAGTTTTCAAGCTTCAAGGTGATAAGCTCTGTGTACAAGGCCGCTGTAAACTATGTGCTTTGAACTTGTTATAAAAGAAGGCAAACTGAACGCACTGCCGTGCAGTAAGGCATCGTTCTGTACTACTAAAGTTATTTCAGTAGTTTTACGAAGCAGCCAAAAAAGACTGATTCATAACCATCATGATTTGAATACAGATGGGTTGTAATCCACATGGACGGGGATAGAAAAAATAACAGGAATACCAAATTTAACACAGCTACGCCATCAATGGCAGTATTTAAACGATGACAGTAGTTTTAATGTTGCCCGTTTTGGCAAATTTGTGGCCTTTTACACACCCCTGTCCCCCAGAACAAAACATCTCTGCTAGTTTTCCTCTGGCCTGTAGTGCCTTTTCTTCATTTCCAGCTCCAGGCATGTCTGCCTTCTCTTTTATATAATAAAATTAAATGTCAGTTGTCTCATTATGCTTAAAGGACTAAAACCACAAATCACATTTAAAAACTATTTTCTTTGTATGGAATTAAATCTGATCATCAAAAAAAATGTGTGGCCATCTATCAGTGAAGCTCAGCCATTAACTTGAACATCCTGGCATTCCCACATGAACTCTTTTTAATACTCAGGAAATAATTCCTGAAAGTGGACATCTGAGAAATATATTTCTGGGTCCTTATGTTTTACGAGATAAGTGCCATTTAGTTGTGTTAAATTCAAGCAGAGTGGTCGTTTCAACAGCTGATATCACCAAACTCTGTAATTAATTCATTACTAACGCAGTCAAGATGGATAGACACAACTACAGGCCTGAGGTATATACAACTGATTTTCAGTTGGATGTTCTCTATAAACTCATTAGATCTTGTTATATTTTGTGTCATAAGCAGCTTAGTCAGACTGGCAACCTGTCCTGGGTGTGCCCTGCCTCTCGACCTATGGCAGCTGGCCCTGACAACCCTGAATTGGATAAACAGGAGAGAATGGATGGATGGATGGATGGATATTCAACTTAGTCAGAAGACAGCCACAGTTGTGCTCGCTAAGTAAAACAGCATCTCTATTTCCAACAACAGTTCAAATATCAGTTACTGTAGGGGTTGTTGGGTTAGACTCCATTATAATCCCAACTATTGGTTTGCATTCAGAGATAACTGGGAAAGTCTGACCAAGATTAAAGAGTTCATTTGTTTGTTTGTTTTAATCTTCTGGAAACCACGTTTTCACTGTTTAGTTATTTAAATTTTTGCCATAAGAACAACACTAATTCTTTGCCAAAGAAACATGTTTTACATATGACCCCCATAGAGCCTAACAGGCGCTGAATGAAGCAATAAACTGCATTAGATGGTCACTTTGCATGTGTTCATATTCAGATGGTGATGCAGAAAATTATATACATTTAGTCATAATCTGGTGCCAAGTGTAAATTCCTGTTTAGAAGCCCTATCTAGTTAAAAAAAAAAAACCCACATAAACCCGCTTATTGAAAGACTGAGGTGTGACAGTGTTACTTTTTTGGTCGGAAGTAAAGTTTCTTGGTGAGCATTGAAGCAAAACAAGGTACTTGCTTCTTCCCGATAGCGTGTAGGTCACGAGCTCTCAGAACACTCCTCATGGACACTTTTCTATTGACCAGCGTGAGTAACTCTGTGAATTCCAGGGTATCACCATGCTTTTGGAGCAATTCACACAGATCTTGGATATACCAGGAGCCATTGATAGTCTCCCGGTGTGAGTAATAACCTAAAAAATATTGAAAAAAAAAGTTAATATGGAAGGTGAAGAAAATGCAAATGGAAGAAGTATGGATTTTTAGAAAGCTATGAAATGTTAAATGCTTTACACCAGGATTTATAGTGGCTCAATTGTACTGTTTTATTAAGAAAAATAGACCTATTTAGGCACTGGTCCAGCTCTTGATCACCGATAAATGAGCTTAGACATATAAATACAAATACACAAACAGTGTATAACACTAGCTGGACAGTTTGTGACACTGTAATCATGTGTCACTGGTAGCCAAGTGGAGACATTTTAGCTTTATATTATTATTAATTATATTAAACAGAAGAAACTATTAGATGTATTTGAGGATACAATTATACTAACATCACATATCTACCCTATGATTAAAAATACACTCAGTTCAGTGTCTTTGATATTTCCTCTGAGCCCAAATAAAAAGCAAAAGGTTCAGTCAAATCCCAGAAGACTCACCTTCAGCCACAGAATAGCACATGATGAAATCAGCCCCAGCAGGGAGCGTGTGTATGGCACTGGCATCCACAAACACCTCTACTTTGCTATCCACTGCATCAGCAGGGGTAACTGGATCGTCATGTTTTTCTCCTCGACATGCCTGGAGATGGATGGATGGAGCATTAAACTAAGGTGATGCAGCAAGTTAACATGCTCTAATACAGCGGTCTCCAACCTTTTTTGCGCCATGGACCGGTTTATGCCCGACAATATTTTCACGGACCGGCCTTTAAGGTGTCGCGGATAAATACAACAAAATAAAACTAGTACCGGTACCGAAAAAAAGAAGATTTATTCATAACACACGTGAAAAGACCAAGGAAAACCGAGTAAACGATAAAAACGATAACAAAATAACGCTGAAAACCGATAAAAACCCTGAAAACCATACATTTCACACCTGAGCCTCAACTCTCGCGGCCCTGTACCAAACGACTCACGGACCAGTAACGGTCCGAGGCCCGGGGGTCGGGGACCGCTGCTCTAATAGACTTGACTGATTTCGGCTAGTGTGTACCTGTATTACGAAGATCTTTGGCTTTCCAACAAGGTCCTGGCACTTGTCTCCCTTGAACTTGGACGTGATCTCCTGGATACTGATTTTTCCATCGTAGCAATAAACATGGTTATCCTCTCCGTGGCTCAGGAAGGCGAGGAAAAAGCAATCAGCATCTGAGTGATCTTCCTCCGCAGCTAGTGGGACAAAAAGTACTTGTTATACTTGCAGCTGTATGTTGGATTTGAGACAGATATGTTTGCAGGAGAGCAAAGAGTTATGGGAGAAATCAAACTACGGTGATGATTTTCTTGATGATTTTTATGTCCATCTTGGATGCATGCTGGTCATTTGAGAGTTACAAGTGATTATGTGGGTACCTTTGGCGATTTCATCTAGGACTGCCTCCTGCTTGTAGTTATCATAACACCTCACTTCAAAGTTTAGGTCCTTCAATCTGAACAGAAAGTGAAAATGAGTTGATTATTTTAACAGATCAAGGACCAAAAATAATTTTATTGTTCTTTATGAGCAATATAAATTCCTTAGACAAGGGTTTGTTTGGATCAGGATTGATTGGACCTTTTTCAGAGTCCTATAAATTTCAACGCCTCAATATTTCTGCTTCTGCAGACACTCCAAAGCATCAGCTATTACCACCCCAGGAGAGACGGTCATAGGATTCTTTCTAAAATCCAAAACCATCTCTTCAGTTGTTGATGCAGTGGGAATAACTTGGACCAGTGTGAAATCAACCTCTATAGGGCCACGATCACAGTCTGTAGTGGGGATTGTGATCACGGTCATCACTATTCAGGAGAGAAACAATCACAGAGTTCTCTGTGAACTTAAAAATATAGCGCACATATTGTCCTTGGCACTCCCTGGTGCACCGCAGTGAAATAACTCAGCCTCAGGGCAATCCAACAGAGAACAGAATAACATTTAATAACCAGGAAAAAAACATTTGAAATTCTTACACGATATTACCACAGAATAGATCTAAACCTGCCATGAAAGCGTGGGCTAATGCAATTTCCTTTTCTTAAGCAGGTAGCTAGAAGTTGTACCTTTTTTCCAAATTGTAACGATCAGCATCGGTTCCATTTCTGTCATTCAAGCCCAGGCGCCAGAAGAAGCGCTCCTGATTAAAGATGAGTGCAAGACCTCGTCGTTTGTTGCCCATCTTGTACTCCTCTGCAGGATCCAGGTAGCTGAATATCGAGTGAAAATTGGGCACATGAATACAGCGCAATAATCTAAGTGAGAATTTCAAGTAACAGCCACAAAACGTGGAAGTAAGAATTTACCTTCTGATGAAGGAGTCGGTCTCTGTTTGGTTTTCCGTGCATACTATTGAAAAGCACATGCATAAATAACCAGTGCAATAACTACAAAATAATAATGCTGTAGCAAGTCTTGCTTTATGCTTATCCAAGTTTTGCAACATGCCAGTGTTAATGATAAACATGATATTGGAAAGAAAGTAGTAACACATGTATGACAATATCCTACATCGTACTGTGCCAGTAACTACCTGCTTAATGCGCCAGTAAGAGTGTTAGAATAAACCGAGCACAGACGACAACCATGATATTTTAAAATCTCAGTACTGCATCAATAATGCACTTGACAATATCATAGTTGTGTAATTGTTCCTTTTCTTCAGGCTGTCCTCACTAACTCCACACGCAAACGTCTTAAAATAATTAAGATGAATTTGACCATTAACATATTTCTAATATCCTGTTAATACAGGAAATTAGGTTTCTTAATATTGTAATTGAGAAACATTTTGTGTAGTGAAAATCAATTCAAGTCAATTCAATTTATACTTATAAATACTTATAAATATATTTATACATTTATTTATACAGAGCTAAATAACAACAACAGTTGCCTTAATGTGTTTTATACTGTGAGGACCCTACGGTATTCAGGAGAAAGCGTCAACAATCAAATTATCTTTTATGAGGAAGCACTTTTGAGTGGTGGGAAGGAAGAACTCCCTTGTAACAGAAAGAAACCTCCAGCAGAAACAGGCACAGGGAGGAGCCACCCTCAACCTCATCCTCCAACCATGCGGGAAAAGGAAAAAGAAAACACAGCAGAGGACTTATCCATAGCAGGATTTAGCTTTTCAGACTTTTGTTTTTGTTTAAGAGTACAGCTACAAGTGCTGCTAGTGTGGGGGTCAAGCAGCCATTGTTCCATCCGCTCAAAGTCCTGACAGCTGTCAATGGCTGAGTGACGGGTGGAGAAACATAGCAAAGGCTGCTAAAAGAACAAAGCCCAAGAGGAACAGCTCTATTCTCCACCCTACAGATACATAGGGCATAGTATTTGTGCAAATGAGGTAGAATGGGTGTATTTGAAGGTAAAAGGTTATTTGAGGTGACTGTTGTTGGTTCTATGTAAATAAACCTTTGTTAAAGTGAATCCGTGAGGGCGATTTGCTCATTTTTATTTCCACAACCTGGCTCTGAGGCAATCTTTACCATCACTTTAGATGTTTTGCTTTTGTTATTAGTTACTCACATATATAAATAAACTCACAGCTGAATACAAAACAAGCAAGCAACAAAAACTCTGGAAGTACACCTGGAAGTCCAACACTGATAATTAGGAGAAAAAATGTTGGGTATAAAGCAGCCATAAAGCAGCTTCCTGACCTGGACTGAGGGGTACAGCTATGAAAGCGATAGTAAAAATCTTTGAGCTGATGATTAATCACACGCTGTTTTACATGCCCTGTTTGTTTCACCAGCCACCAAACATTACTTTTATTACATTGTTTGTACAATTTTACAGCTTTTAGTGTTTCACTTTTTGCTTTTGGTATGAGCAAGTACTTTGTCGTTCATGTTTTAAAATTTTTTTTTAGAATTTTTATATACTTCACGGTAGGAAATACTCACCTTGCTTGCTTTCACCTGTTGGTTTGCTGTCTGTGGCAACACTTCCTAAGAAAGTCAGAGAAGGAGGAGCAGTGAAGTCCCGACTTCATTGCTATTACATTAAAAAAAAAACTGATACACTTTGTACTAACGTGGTGACTGACGTAAATAAACGCTTATAGTAAATGTGTGACAGCATTTATAATAGAGCATACCAAACAGTTTAAAATACATTGAGCTCAGGGTAGATCGAAACTTAGTAGCGTTGCACGTATTGTTCGGCTTTCAAATTAACAGGTCACCTGTCTGTTTCTAATTTTTTTTTAAAATGCAAACTTATTACCTCCGCAGTCGTCTTTTTGCTTGTCAGACATGTTCACGGTTCGTCTTTTTTTCGGACTAACGCCGTGAGAAGAAAACCTCACCGTCGTAGAGCCCACCCTAAAAAGAGTTTAGGGTGTGGTTCCGCCCACCGTAATCTCATTGGCTCGGATTTTCACCTATTGGCTCTCGCATCTGTCATTCAAAGATTTAAAGACTAGTATTTCCGTGTTTGCAACATTGCAACAAGTTCAGGCAACTACCAAATCACGAACAACGACAAGAGCATGAGAAGAAAGTAAAAGATTAAGTGGGCTAAAAGCCTAATCCAGATTTATGTTACGAGCCTCATCTCATACATGACTAAAAACATAAAGTACACTTCATTGTTCTTGAGACATTTAAAGGTCCACATATTTATAAACGAATGACAGGTAACAAATTAAAAAGATGCTTCTACAAGTCACAGCTTTACCATCGCATTCAGTTACATTCTGTGGAAGGGCAGGGGGGATGTGCTAACACTGCCAACTCATCATATGTTCCGTTTTTCTCATGGTATAAGGAAGTGGATACTGACCGCCTTATTTTACTGTGTTTTGTAATAATGTCCTGTTTGGCAGTTTTAGGAGATATGGGGAAATTATATTGGAAATATGTTAAATGAAGCTCTGTTTCCCTCTGTTGGAAACGGTATGCATAACAACACATAATCACTTTCACGTCAATACACAAACACACATTATAATTTCCGATATTATCTTTAGACTACAGCAAAGTTCTATATCTTTATTCGTACAGTAATCATATGAAGATTGCATCATTTTCTGTGATGTAAGTTTCAGTAACACCTTTAATATTACTAATTACAATTAATTAAAACATTAATTGAAAAAAATATAAACTCAGCTCGAACACTGGGGAAACAAGGAAGAGGAACAATGGGCAAATTACTACACTATGACAAGTACAGGCATTACTAATGGCATGAAATGAATGTTTCCCCAAGTTTGTTTGAATTGGTTGTATTTTGAATGAATTTGTTTGGACAAATAAAGGATGCGCACACACTTTCTGTCACAAAAACAATGGAGATTTTTATTTAAAACAAAATTAACGATGGCAAAGCCATAACTAAAATCTCATTGGTTCACAAAGTATGACCAAAGTCTGTGTGCAATTTGGTGTATTTTCTTTTTCTTCACAGGGATCATGACTACAAGTGTTTTTGACTAGAGTAGAAAAAACACAGCCTCTTACTTTTCACGCTAGTGTGATCACTAAGGTGCAAATACACATTAGTACATGTACCATAAACTGCTGACAGGTCATTAATTCCATTCCTCAAGTAGTAAGCTTGAGGAAACACTCTGATTGTGAAGTGCTTGGACAAGTTGTAAGTGTTACTGGCACCCTGAGGCTTAGAGTGAGAAAAGTAAGAATGAAACTGATGAGTACAAAAACCAATTTTCTGATTGCTAAGCTATCACGTCATGTGCCTCTCATGATAAGTTGGGAAACAACTGGCTGTTGACACTAAGCAAACCAGATGCTAGTTGATCAGTTTCTCAGACACCATCTGTAGAAATGTGTGCCTCCTCTTTGACATAATGTAACCAAATGCCAGTTTGTGATGCCTAAATAGTAATATGAAGAATTACATTTAAAAACTATTTTAATTCTATGGAATTAAATCGGACAACCAAGAGAAAGATGCAGTTAGTTTCACTACAGCTCAGCTGGCTGGGACACCTTTAACTTGAACATCCCACCATCCTGCCACATGTTGATACATTCTTGCTTCTACAAACAGTTAAAGAGAAAACAGTTCCAAAATTAAACCGTTTCAGTATTTAGAACATCATTTCTGGAAAAAACATTGCTGCTGGATTTACATTTCATTTAGTTCTGTTAAATTCAAGTAGCGAAACATTTCAACAGCTGATATCACCAAACTGTGTAACTAACAGCAAAGCAATCAAGTGGGGTAAAAAGCAGCCCAAATCTGAATTACATACAACTGTATAAAATCAGTACTTTAAGTGGCTGCTTACTCAGGAGACAGCTATAGTTGTAACCGTTAAGTAAAATAGCATAGATGTACCTCTATAATACATAGATAGTACATCTAGAGGATGTTCCCATGATTTTATAAGAACTCTGTCACTAGAAATATTGAGGATCCTAATTAGCGTTATAAAAGATCTTTTGTTTTCTGTGGTGAGATGTTGGTTTTAGTTAAAAAATATAAATCAGCTGATTTAAAGACTGAGGTGAGACATTGTTACTTTTTTGGTCGGAAGTAAAGTTTCTTAGTGAGCATTGAAGCAAAACAAGGCATTTGCTTTTTTTCCCAACAAGCTGTGGGTCACAGGATTTTGGAACGTTCCTCATCGACACTTTTCTGTTGACTAGTGTGAGTAATTCTGTGAATTCAAGGGAGTTGCCATATTTTCGGAGCATCTCACACAGAGCCTGAATGTACCAGGAGACTTTCTTAGTCTCCCGGAAGGAGTAGTAACCTATCAAATGACAAAAACAGCAAAACATGGCAGGTGGTCTAGTGTGTTTATGATATATCAAGTACTTTACACAGGGTTCATAAAGGGTCACTCATATGGTTAAAAAAAATCTGTCCAGCAATTTTTTCACTTCTCCTCTAAGCTGAAGGTTCAGTCTAATCCCAGAAGACTCACCTTCAGCTACAGAAGAGCATATTATAAAATCAGCCCCGGCGGGGAGGGTGCGTATGGCACAGGCATCTGCAAACACCTCCACTATGCCATCCACCGCATCAGCAGGGGTCACTGTAACACCTTCATCAAACAGTTTTCCACGGCATGCCTGGAGATTAAAGATGGACATTGGCATTAACTGGGTGCTGGACTTGATAATAAACATAAGACAGACTGACGACCTCACTTCCTCCGTTACATCCTCACCCATTGTCCTCAACACGGGCTCCCTCGGGGATGTGTTTTGAGCCTCCTGCTGTACTCTCTACTCCCTTATAACTGCTCAGCCACATTCCCAAGCACCCACGTTGTCAAGTTTGTGGTGGAACTAATTTCCAGCAACTATGAGACAAAGTACAGGTTGCAGGAAGAACATCTGGAGGATTAGTGCCTCTCCATTAATGTTAAGAAATGAAAGTGGCATTAATGAACTTTTAAAAGAAGCTGCTGAGAGCTCTCTTGCCCTTATGGCGATCTCCAGCTTCAAGTTCCTGGGTATAAACATCAACAACGGCCTCACCTGAACACCAACTTCAGCAGGCTAATAAAGAAGCCCACTTGTATCTACTGATGCTCTCCACAGTCCAGTTCAGTGGAGAGCATCCTCACACCTGTGAGTCGTGGAACCTGCTCTGCTGCTGATGGGAAGATTCTACGAGTGTGTGCAGAAACTCAGCAGCACCCTTTCTCTTATCAACTGAAGACATCAACATCAGTTCAGATGTATAAATTCTGCCACACATCAGAGACTTTTCATGTGTGTACCCACACACCACATTACACATTATGGTTTCTATCTTATGTTCATATTTGTACTCACATTTCACTTTCTTGCATTCTTACACTCACTGCTCTTTAAATTGTATTCTTTTTTTCATTGTGTTACTGAGTTTTGCTTGTTTTTGCAGTGCTGTTTCACCAGTACCTCATTACTTAGTGATTCTCATGCATCATCATTTTTTGGGATGACAATAACAGCAGGTTTACATAATCTGATGGACTTGATGACTGTTAACTGCGACCTATTGCATTAACTTTTACTATTCCTTCATTCTTGGTGTTCTCTATCATGCGGCACTGGGTCTGTTATAATCTATGTGCTGCAGTCCATTTTATTGGTGGCTTTCTACTGTGAACATTGTCTGCTGTTCTTATTATATTTGATATTAATGCTCTTAACTGTATTATTTTATTGTTTTTCTGTAAATCACTTTGGTATGCCTAGGCTTTTAATGTGCTCTATAAATAAAGGTTGTTGTTGTTGTTGTTGACTGGGTTGTGTATTTTGCACCTGTATTATAAAGATCTTTGGCTTTCCAACAAGGTCCCGGCAGTTGTCTCCTTTGAACATGGACATCATGTCCTGGATACAAATTTTTCCATCGTAGCAATAAACATGGTTATCCTCTCCGTGACTCAAGAAGGCGAGCAAAAAGCAATCAGCATCTGAGTGATCTTCCTCCGCAGCTGGTGGGACAACAAGTACTTGTTAAACTTGCGGCGAATTGTTGGATTTGACACATATATCTTTGCAGCAGAGCAAAGAGTTATGGGAGAAGTCAAACTTCATGTACATCCTGGATGCATTCCATTTGAGAGTTACAAGTGATTGTGTGGGTACCTTTAGCGATTTCATCTAGGACATCCACCTGCTTGTAGTTATCATAACACCTCACTTCAAACTTTAGATCCTTCAATCTGAACAGAAAGTGAAAATGAGTTGATTAGTTTAACAGATCATCCATCAGTCTATTTAGAATCACCTCTTCACTACAGGACCGACATTATTCTCTACAGTGGGAATTTGTGAAAATATAGCACGTCAAATATTGGTTTTGGCACTAACTGGAGCACAAAGGTGAAATCAGCACCAAGGGGCTTGAGGAGAGACAATAACATTTCATTATCAGGAAAAATCTGTGGAAATTCTCACACATTTTTACCACAGAAAGGAGCTACAGCTGCTAAACAAGTGCTGGCATGTTCTTTAGCACAAAGCTGTGTCAAATACAGTGTTTCCCTTTCTTCAGTAGATAGCTGGGAATTGTACCTTTCCTTCAAGTTGTAACGATCAGCACTGGTTCCAACTCTGTCATTCAAGCCCAGGCGCCCGAAGAACTTCTCCTGATTAAAAATGAGAGCAAGAACTCGTCGTTTGTTACACATCTTGTACTCCTCTGCAGGATCCAAGGAGTTGATTTCAGAAAAAAAAGAGTAATGAATGCAGTGTGTCTGAGTGTTTGGTACCAGATTAAAGCGATAATTTCCAGCTAATAGCCAAAAAAGGTGGAAGTAAGAATTTACCTTCTGATGAAGGAGGTGTTCTCTGTTTGTTTCTCTTTGCATACTATTGAAAAACAAATTCATATTC